TGGGAAACCCTGACATCTGAGCGTCCAGCCAGGAGGCAGGCGGTGCATCACAGCCTCTCCCAATTTGAAGAGACCCTTGTCCAGCAGGCCGAGGCAAAGAGGCTGTCCCGAAACCAACAAAACCAGGGAGCTGGACAGGGGACAGATTGTAGTTGTCTTCAGCTTGGAAGGGATGGTCACTCTCGAATTGGCCTTCTCAGCCACACAAGACGCTGTTCCAAGTCCTCCATACAGAGCACGTTACTGTTGTCTCTCGAGACTAAAGGATGCCTAATCTAGTCTAAGGTAAGCTCATCAAGGGAGATAGGGTCTCTGAGATAGCTTGGACCCAAGCTGTTAAGGACTTGAAGCCAGTGGTAGCCACTGACTCCAATTTTGGTGGTTCCAGAATTCCACTCCAAGCTAGATTGTTTATTCTGAGGATAACCTTCAGCACTTTGGATAGCTCCGGTGGAGGTCAGACTGTGATGAAACCCATCTGGTTCCTTTGGTTTTTTTTTTCCAGCCATTGTTTTTTTTTAGGAGGAACAGTCTTTCTACAATCAGGATTTTGAAAACCCCTCCAAATTACCCAGAGAGCTACCCGCAGAAGGTAATTACTGCGCTGTTTTGCTATATCCGATGCACAGCCAAGGGACAGAGGAGTGATTTTCCAATACTGCTTTCGCACCTATAAGTCCTACGTTTGTGAGTTTAATGACTAAACAACAACAAAAGTCAAATGGCACTTTCTCACTGGGGTCAAGGTGACATCAGGACTTCAGTTCCCAGGCAAAGTTTTTCCCCATCCAGATTTCTACTGCGCTAGAAGGGGAGAGCTCGGATGCCTAGAGGAAGTGAGGTTGATCTGAACAAGGGCTGCATTCAGATCAGGATTCCAGGTGGGCCTGAAATAGCTTGTAGAGTGGTGCCTCGCTAGACGATAGCTTCACATAACAATGAATTTGCTGTACAATGGCTTTTTTGGAGCGATCTTGCACTTCGTTTAATGATGTTTCCTATGGGCGATTTTTGCTTTACGATGTTAGGGACCTTGCCTCGCAAGATGGTTAAATTTTTGGTCCCTGTTTTTCACTTTGCAATGTTTTTGATGGCTTGGTTTTGCTTCACTAGACGAGTCTTTTAATGGTCACTGTTTCGTTAGACAGCTGTTTTCACTTGGGAACCGCGTTTCGCTTAACAATGTTTCCTATGGCGATTTTCACTTTACGATGACAATCCGTTCCCATTGGAACGGATTATCAGGTTTTCAATGCATTTCAATGAGAAACCATGTTTGTAAGATGATGTTTTCGCTTAACAGCAATTTTCACGGAACGAATTAACATCGTCTTGCGAGGCACCACTGTATGTTCCTTTGTCTGTAGGCCAGCTGGAGATCTCTAGCCTTTTCAATTCCCTGGAGACTATCTCCTGAGGCATGCATCAGCAGACTTCTTCTCTGCCTGGAATGGGCCAGGTTTCTTGACCCCTCGACAGACCAGTAAAATATACAGTGAATGCAAACGCTTTAGTTTCTTTGTTCATCAACATTATTTTAACTTGACCACAGTCAAACAGCACTTGTATTACAGCTAGTTGCGCATATGTAGGAATACATAAAGAAAGCTCAGTTCTTATAAAGAGGATATAACACATTCTTTTCTTTTGCTTATCTTGTTCCTTCATAAGTGATCCCTGCTGTTGCTTCCTTATTACACAAGTTTCAATAAACATCCAGCAAGTTGGATAACCACCCAAAAATTTCACAGTTCTGAGTCTCTCTTTCATTATCTTTATCAAGAAAAGCTACGTATTTCTTCCCATAGAAGGGTGTGCTGTTTTTTATAATTACTACAGCTTCAAAATGAAAACATGGAAAGCTTATCTAAACATATTGTTTTATATCGGGTTCTCAAACATTATTTTCTCACAAATAAAGTGAAAGAAAAACTTACTCTGAACACCTTCAGAGCTGTTGTATAGAGTATTTCCTGTTGTTTCAATGTTCCTATGAAACTGAGGCTCTGTTACAGCTCTTCCTTTACTAAAGGACTTAAAAGTGTCCTGTGTGTAACTACAATTGATAAGAATCTTGCATAGAACAATGTTTACTTGTGTTTACATAACACCTTCCATGTATTAGCTTTGCAGCAATAATAATTCCAGTTCTGGCATACAGTTCTGGTCGCTACATCTCATAAAAGACACCGTGGAACTGGAAAAGGTGCAGAAACAGAGCGACTCAAGTGAGGACTGGGCTGGGGCACCTCCCTGATGAAAGGTGACAGCGTTTGGGGCTCTTGAGTCTAGAGAAAAGGAGCCTGACGGGGGAACACGGTTGAGAGGTCTAAAATTATGCAGGGGGTGGATAAAGTGAATAAAGGGAAGCTCTCTTCCCTCTCACAAAATACTAGAACCAGGGGACATCCACTCCAATGGAGTGTTGGGAGAGTGAGAACAGACCAAAGAAAATCTTTCTTGACCCAGCGTGTTGTTAGACTGTGGAACTCCTTGCCACAGGATGTGGTGATGGCACCTGACCTAGATGCCTTGAAAAGGGGATGGGACAGATTTCTTGAGGAAAACTCCATCGCAGGTTACAAGCCATGATGGGGATGTATAATCTCTAGGCTTAAAAGGAAGGAAACTCAAAATGCCAGATGCTGGGAAGGGGTATCAGGAGACAGGTCTCTAGTTGTCTCAGGGGCTCCCAGAGGCATCTGGTGGGGCCACGGTGAGATACAGGGAGCTGGACTAGAGGGTCCCTTGGCCTGATCCAACAGGGATCTTCTTAGGCTCTTAATTATAAGAAGCAACCCATCCTTCTCTGGGAAAGAATTCACCCACTCCATAGATAAAGATCATGAACCAGAGAGTCAAGCTGGGGAAACTGTTGGGAGGTTACCCAAACTTCTGAGAGTTTATCTAAGAAAGCAATGGCTTGCATCATTTTCACAGACAGATAAGCAAAAGAAAAGTCAGCATTATAAGAATTTCATAAGAACAGCGCTCTCTTTATAAACACCTACATACGTGTACCTATATGTAATTGTAATATATGAGCATTATCTGATTCTGGTTAAGTAAAAATTATATTGTTGAACATAGAAACCAATGCACTTTCCTTCACAGTATTTTTCACTGGTCAGTTCAGTATCTCCGTGAATCCCTCTTCTTTCTAGTTAAGGTTCTTGACATGCTTTGTCAAAATAATAGTTTTATGCTTTTCCCTTTACCTCAAAAACCCTTCATCCATTTGTATAGGTGTCGCCATTGGAGCTTTCCACATCCATGGCATGTACTCTCCCTGTGATGCTTTCATCATCCTATCAACAAATAGTGAGCTTCATGGGTTATCAACCCCCACTGAGAGTTGAGGGGGACATGGATGGGACCACGTGTTGGGTATCCCCCCATTTCTCTTCAACCACTCTTCTAATCTTTCTCTCTCTTTCCAGTTTCTTCAAGTAGCTCAACTGAAGGTTGCTTCATACCGCCCAACCTTTGACCAAGACAGATGACAAGAGGTACATAACACAGTGGGCTTAGTGAGGGAAGACTTGCCTTCTCCCACATGGCCACAGGTGTAAAGCCTCAGACCAGAAACCCTCTTCCGAGGGTTCCACCACCAGAAACGAGGAGATCAGCAATGGTGTGGACCTTCTCTGTGGTGGCACCTGACCCAGCAAGGATGACTCCTCCTCTGTTCGACTGATTGGATGCGCAAGTCTAGGACTTCTTGACCGGCCTAACCTACCGATTCACAGCTGTAGCTTTAAGGGTTCCCTTCTGCTTATTCTACAAGTGATTATTCTTGGATTTTGGTTTTACGTCTAAACGGCAAGCAACCTCAGAAATGTCCCATTTCGAAAGCCAGGTGGACATTGATGACATAAACAAGTCAAGCACATCTGGAAATTGCGACATACAGTGGCTTACAAAGATTACGTCATCCTCCCAAGGCATTCCCCATCCCCATAATTAATAACATCTAAGTAGAAACAAACAGATTCTGTCATACATCGATGCAATGCCACAAAGCTCTCCAACTGCGGTTTCTGTACTTCTGTAACTTTAGGTCCCCAGCAGACCTGTGGTAATGAAGACTGTTTGGGGGAAGTTGTGGCAAAATTGTGTATCTAGCCTACACAAAACTAGCTGAGGTATCACGATATAACAGCAAGCATGTGGTATAGTGGATAGAGAGGGCTTTTTCTCAGTCCTGCTATCTTCACAGGTGAGTTTATTGGGGTCATGGGAGGGGGCCTTCTCTGTTTCTGCTCCCAGACTTTGGAACTCCCTCCCACTAGAAGCCAAGCTGATCCCATCTTTGCTGTCCTTCCGCAAACAGGCGAAGCCCTTTATCTCCAGGTCACCTGAGGGACTGATTACCTGAGTGGGGTTTTCAAATGGATTGTTGTGTCTTAACTGCTTTGAATGTGTTTTGGTGTTGCTGATGTTTTTTTAAGTATATATGCACTTGTGATAGCTTTAATGTTGTCATTTAATAATGTAGGCCACATTGGGTCCTTTTAAGGAGAAAGGTGGGATAAATGTATTTTAAACAGACAGACAGACAGACAAGTAAGTCAGTCAGTAAGTAAGTAAGTAAGATTCGCGAGACCTGGGTTCAAATTTCTGCTCAGCCATGGAAACTCACTAAGGAGAAGCCCTGAAGACAGACAGACAGACAGACAGACAAGTCAGTAAGTAAGTAAGTAAGACTCGGGAGACCTGGGTTCAAATTTCTGCTCAACCATGGAAACTCACTAAGGAGAAGCCCTGGCAAAACCATTCCTTGATCATCTTACATACCTTGACAACTCTACTAGGGCCAACATAAATCAGATGTGACTTATTAGAACTGAAACACACATGTGGAAAAGTATGTCACACCGATTCACATGAGAACTCTGTTTTCTTATTATTTGAACACTGTCTTCTTTTTCCTGCTAGGGAATTGATACAGCACAAGAGCCGGCACCCGCTAACGTGAAAAGAGAAGGCAGACCCATATATAAGAATACTGAAATAACTTTAATGATTTTTGGTATGTAGAAATTGTGGTTTAAAAACATATAAAATTCCATTGTAAAACAAGGACTTTATGATCTGGTATAGAAAATATACACTCTAACCATAGAACGACATATTTTCACAAACAAAACATCAACCCGCCTCCGTGTTTAGACTGGCTCAATAAAGCTCTCCTCTTCTGTAACGTGCAGTGCAAAAAAAAACTTATCTGGCCTTCAGCCTGGAGTGGGACAGCAAGAATTATAACACAGTCAATGGCGTAAAGTTGACCTACAATGTTATGTTGCTCACGGCTTAGTTACAAGGCATCGGAGCGAGCCCCTTAACCACCTAATCGCAGGCCACCAGGATCTAGCCTGTGTTCGTAGCAGAGAAAAGTCGGACAAGGAGCCAAGAATTAGAACCACGTGATCAGCCAAGAAGGCGGCGCTGGCCTGGGCTCTGTAGTTATGCTTCAGAACAGCGAAAACGTATCTTTCTGGACTACAATTCCCAGAATCCCCTAGAATTCCAGGATTCCCAGAATCCTTGGAGGTGCAGTTCCCCCTAGAAGGAAAGACTGCCAAGTTCTGGAGCGGAAGGTGGAAAGTTCTTTCTCTGGTTTGCATGTCAGCACCTCTTGCAGGCAGCTGACCCCGATGCAGCCTAGGATCGAAAGGATGATGAGTGGCTGCCTCGGCTCTCTAGGACAAAAGAAATTTGGGGTGCAGGTGGAGAATTCTGGCAAGGGCTTTAACCCAGATGGAAAGAACCTACCCTCTCCTCACCTTCCATGTCCCCGTTCACACCCCGTTCCTCTCAAGCGGTGGTTTCCCCAGATGTTCTTGGACTACAACTCCCAGAAATCATGGGCAGCACAGCCAACGGTGAAGGCTTCTGGGAGGTGTAGTCCAAGACCCTCTGGGGACCCATGCTTGGGAACCCCTGCTCTAAATAACTAAGAGCAGCTCTGCTGTACTTGCAAAGCACCAGTGCAAAGATTCCTGATTTGCTGGAAAAGGGGGAGGGTGGTGGTAGGAAAATGCCCATCATGTCTTAATGTAAGAAACATACTGGGTTTTATCGGTGTTGCAACTTTTACAAACATTATGTGCCTGCCAGGGCTCTGTAGGAGTGTAGATAAGGCAGTCAGTGGTGTCTCTGTGTTGTAAACACAGGAGCCGTTCTGACATAATAAAAAAATTAAAATAAAATGAACAACTTTCCAAGAATCTCAGTTTTTGGTTGGTGGAAAAAATTAACCCATTCCAGTGCTCAGGCTACAAATATTGGCCTGGGAAGGATGAGTTTGGCTATTTGGTCCAACTCAGAACACAGTTCTTAAGACTAGGGAGATTTCTGTGTCTCTATGAGGAATGTCAACCTTGTGGTCTTTTTTTCAATGCTAAAAAAACTCCCTCAATGTCAGGAGGTCCGTGAAATTGCGGGCATACACATTCACAGAAAATTCAGAATTACAGATTGATCACCCTTTTTCCCCCTTCCATGGTGTTACCATAGCAGATTATCCCAAAATATTGCACTGCATGAAAACCTTGTACATAGAGTAATGGAAATGTGATACTAGTTATTTCAAGAACATGACCTCTTATTTACGGTGTGTTTGGGTTTAGGTCTACTTACTGTGAACCTGATAACACATATACACACACCCTCTCCTCTTTTGGCACTGAAAAATCTTGCAAGGTTGAAACTCATCTGTCACTTGTGGCTAGGATACTTCATGGAGGGTTTTCATGACTCTCTGCCTTTTAATATATCCTTTTTGTAAACAATGTGCCGAAATATTTTAAATTTTAAACGTTCAGGTTTGTATGGGCGACAGTAAATTCAGTTTTTTAAAAAAACATTAGTATCCCAGATTTTTATAGTGGTTTCTTCCTTCTTAAATTTCCCCTTTGTGGTCTTCAAAGGGATAGAATGAAAAGCACCAGGTGTTGGACCACTTATCCCAGAATCCCCTAGCCAATTTGACCGTAGTCGTGGTGCAAAAAACCCACTAAACCCACCACTCCAAAACATTTCCACGTTCTGTTTTTCATTTTTTTATATCTTTCGTTTCAAGATAATAAAGGGAAATTAAAAAACCAAACCAAACCAAAAAGGCAGGCTTCCTAGCTGAGGGATTCTGGAAGCTGTAGACCAAACAAGTAACTTTTCCAAGTTCAGGCAGCATATACCCATTCAAACGAGTTTCATTCCAGATCAGAAGGGGAACAAATAAAAGTTCCTGAGCAGCCCTGAAGTTCATTTCTTGTTTTCTCAGAGGTATTTCGTAGAATCACGTAGTAATGGAATTGCAAGAGGACTGTAACGCTATCAATTCTAATGCTTGAGGCAGCAATCCAAATATTAGTATATTTAGTATATTAATATAGTATATTTATATATTAATGTACTGTACTCTACTTCATTTACATTTTATCTCTGCGATATTTTAATAAATAACACAGAAATGCTATGTCTGCAATCCTATACATTGTCATCGTTATCTTCATCGTCAAGTTGAGTTTGATTTATAGAGACCCCTTTCAGGGTTTCCCAGTTTAAAAATACTCAGAAGTGAGTTCCCACATCCCTTTCTTCCAGGGGGCTGCTCCGGGACTGTTGTGCCGCTTGCCCAAAGCTGGCTCTTCTCTCAGGAGACACCGTGGGGAATTTGAACTCCCCACCTCTGGCTCCACAGCCAGAGAACTGAGCCACTTGGCCGTGGAATCCACTCAGTCGGGTGAGACTTACTTCTGAGTAGAAATGCCTAGGATTGCACTGCTAATCTCATAACCCTATTGGGAAACGCTTCTTAATTTTTTCTTGCAAGTGTTGGAGGCTCATACGTCCGATGGCTCCCCAGAGCTTCTTAAACACAGAATCTGCCCCTTCGGTGTCCTTAAGCCGGGTGAGGTAGCGATGAAGTTCCACCTGGAGCTCCTCGTAACTCGTCTTCTGGTTCATGCCGGAGGGGAGGCTTCTGCTGATGATCCGTTTCAAGCGGTTCAACCTTCTGATGGACTTGATTTCGTAAGGGATGAAGTCAATGAGGGCCTCTTGACAGACCTCCATTCCTGGACAAGGCAAAAAAACAACAGAGGATGAGAGGGTGACTGTGGATAAGATCAGTGGCTCTTAACCTTTGTTACTCAGATGCTTTTGAACTGCAACTCCCAGAAACCCCAGCCAGCACAGTTGGTGGTGAAGGCTTATGGAAGTTGCAGTCCAAAACTCCTGAGTAACCCAAGGTTAAGAACCAGTGGATAAGATGATCTCTTCCAACTCCTCCTGATTCTCTAGGTTGCCATCCTGAGTGCCTATTTAAAAACCAGGGGTATTAGACCAGAATTTAAATTCGTAAGCATTTAATATCTGAGCTTTTATTCAAACAAATTTTTTTTTTCATAATGGCTTCCAACAGAAAGAGAGAGAGAGAGAGAGAGAGAGAGAGAATAGTTTAAAATCCATAGATAATCTAATTACACAACAAAAGACACAACTCATGACATGTCTCATAGGGTAGAGATTGTGAGGCTTCTGCCTTTAAGAAAAGGTTGTCCTGCTGGTCTCTGGTGCAAGCCAGCAGCTTCACAATTAGAAGGTGATAAGAGGCTGTCACTCCACAGATACAACTGTTTTTTAAAATGGCCTGTGATGGCCCACTCAAGGTGTATATTGCAGCGCACACCTTGGCGTGACCAATCACCCGGCATCAGCAACCTAATTTGCAACTGGCAGAGTGGCAAAAGAGCACTAGAGGATTCTCAGACATCTTTTACTGCATAAGGCAGCTCCGGTTCTAATGGCAAAGCTGTCCTCTCTTCTGGGTCTGCTGTTTAGCATCCACAGGAAGAACAACACACAGGGTTGCTTCTCCTGTATGGACTGGAAGAGAACCGCATTTCTGTCTCAGGCCAATCAAATTGCATGTTAAAACAGGCAAGGGAGGAGTGTATGCCTACACACACACCCCAAGAGGCATCTATATTACAAATCTATAACTTATTACTGCCATAGGACTAGCCCTCATTGAGGTGATAAAAACATGTCCTCTGGTGGACCCCTTCCGACCGCAGGTGAAGGCTCGTGCAATGGCACACTCCATATACCCATTCCCTGCACACAGAAAGCTAGGATAGCAGGGTTAAGACAAGGAGAGGGCCTTGCTCCCTGACATGTTAGTTTTCTATGTGTAGGGACGATGGTTTCTGTGTGGGAAATCCAGTGATACAATCCCCTATTCGTTGCCAGAAGTGGTCAGGAATCAAGTTTTATTTTGATGGCCAGAGTTCTTGAAGGAAGAGATGGTGGGAGATTTCTATTCTGTGAAGGACGCGGGGCAGTCCAACAGAGAGCCCTCAGCATCCTCACAACATCAGAGTTGGGCAGGATTTCAGCGAAGGCCCAAAACGAGATGTGTGCCCTTTCCAAAGGTGTTACGAACCCCAAGCACCTGGGGCTCACGGACTCACCTGGTCTGTCTCCTCCGTCTTCTTGGTTGAGCTTGCAAGAGGTGCAGAAGGTGTCGTGAAACCGGTTCCCGGGGACGTTGACCTCCAGGCCTTGCGCAGAGCAGTTCTGGTGCACCCGGCACAGCTCGGTGCTGGAAACCAAGTAGGAGAAGGTCCCTGGTGGGCACAGCGTACATTTGGTATCTTCACGAGGGTTGCCTATATGAGACATAACCGGGACAGACGAGCATCAGCAAAGCGAAGCCTCTCTATCCAGGCCAACAAGAGTCAGGCGCACAATGCTGGGCGCTGTATAAAATGAGCCACATATTGCAATGGCTTTGCCAGATCTAACCGTAATAATAATCAAAGCTTTCCTTGGGGGAACGGCTGCCTCATCGATGCTGAACACTCTTCTATCGGCTCCACTGACTACTTGCCGTGTCTGGCCATTACTGGTCTTTCCTCTCCAAAGCTGAAGCGGCCCAAGATATTTTGCTGACAGAGGGGATGATGACCAAAAGCCAGCTGGGTGAGCAACTGCATCTTGTTTCGACAGAGACAGCAGGATAGCTCAAGTGGGGAGGGCAGTAACGCTGTGCCCCGCTTACTCCCCTAACGCTCCAGTCTACCTAAGAATACGGCTCCAAAGAAAGACCAAGGGACTGCAGTTCTGTAAGGCAGGCAAGAGGGTCAAAGTAGAATATGCCTTCTCTGTGATTCACCTGTCAAATTAGAGAATCTAACACTCCAGGCTTCCCTAAAGAGTCCTACAGAACTTAGAAAAACCTCTAAGCAGAAAACTGGAAGCCTGTGTTCTTCACAGCTGGCATTATCCCAATGAAGAGTTCATTCCAGGATGAAAATTTGCACCCTTACTCTAACTTTCTTGCTTCTTCATTTTGAGATCTTTCAAGTTATCCCCCCCAGACTGATAGCCCAATTTAAAAAAAACAAAAAAACCTGATGGCCGTCTTTTTTATTTTAAAAATACAGTGAAAACTGTGACTCTTTCTTAGAAATGTATAGATACAGGTTTAAATACAATATATCAGACATGAACTCATATCAACTTGGCTACGGTGAAACCCTTCGGAATTCTGTGTTAATAATTCTCCGTTAATAAGCCGCAACAGAATGACTGAAATTGGCAAATCAAATGCATAAGCCAAAAAAAAAAATCATATTGACGTAAATTTACAGAATAAATTCTTACCCCCAGCTCAGTCTCTTCCTAATATAGGTACACCTCCGTAGAGGCTAGGAGTTTGATCCCCCCCACTGCGCCTCCTGTGAGTAGAGCCAGCCTGTGTGGCCTTGGGCCAGCTGCCTATTCCCAGAAGAAGGGAAGGGAAAACCACTTCTGAGCACGGTCTTCCTGGAAAACCCTGAAAGGTGTTGCTATACATCAGAACTGACTTGAGAGCCCATGATGATTATTATTTATACTTGCAATCTGTTTCCATCAGCTGTAGGCTAATTTTGCATTGTTTGCAGGTTACTTTCAATAGAATCTGATAAAAACTTTCCATGAGCCTTGCTAGCATAGCAGATCAAGTCTCTTGTCAACGGTAAGGTTGACCCATGGCCATCGAAGCAGATAACAGGGCTTTGATGAATCTGACTGTACACTTTCTGCAAGTTAGCACTGGAGTACATTACCAGCTCAGTAAATAGGATAATATTAATAGCTCTACAAACACATTCTATTGTTTTAAAGGGTAAGATATACCTCTTGGTGAACCAGTTCTGCATTATAATTGATACGCCACTTAGGATCTTGACAAACACATGAGAAAGGGAGTGTCACAGGTGTGCAAACACCAGTCATCCAACTTGCGAATCAAGCCCATTTGCAAAACTGTGACTCTTTCTTAGAAATGTATAGATACAGGTTTAAATACAATATATCAGACATGAACTCATATCAACTTGGCTACGGTGAAACCCTTCGGAATTCTGTGTTAATAATTCTCCGTTAATAAGCCGCAACAGAATGACTGAAATTGGCAAATCAAATGCATAAGCCAAAAAAAAAAATCATATTGACGTAAATTTACAGAATAAATTCTTACCCCCAGCTCAGTCTCTTCCTAATATAGGTACACCTCCCACCCTGGCTGCTAACATTCCAGGACTGCTGTTTATACTCGTGCTGGCTGGATAGCTCTGTGGTTTAGGTAGAGGCTAGGAGTTTGATCCCCCCCACTGCGCCTCCTGTGAGTAGAGCCAGCCTGTGTGGCCTTGGGCCAGCTGCCTATTCCCAGAAGAAGGGAAGGGAAAACCACTTCTGAGCACGGTCTTCCTGGAAAACCCTGAAAGGTGTTGCTATACATCAGAACTGACTTGAGAGCCCATGATGATTATTATTTATACTTGCAATCTGTTTCCATCAGCTGTAGGCTAATTTTGCATTGTTTGCAGGTTACTTTCAATAGAATCTGATAAAAACTTTCCGTGAGCTTTGCTAGCATAGCAGATCAGGTCTCTTGTCAACTGTAAGGTTGACCCATGGCCATCGAAGCAGATAACAGGGCTTTGATGAATCTGACTGTACACTTTCTGCAAGTTAGCACTGGAGTACGATACCAGCTCAGTAAACAGGATAATATTAATAACTCTACAAACACATTCCATTGTTTTAAAGGGTAAGAATTACCTCTTGGTGCACCAGTTCTGCGTTACAATTGATATGCCACTTAGGATCTTGACAAACACATATGCCCTTTGAGAAAGGGAGTGTCACAAGTGTGCAAACACCAGTCATCCAGCTTGCAAGTCAAGCCCATTTGATGGTCTGGCTGATAAATACTGCATTGTGTCTGTTCACTTAAGAAAGCCTCCCATCCATGCAGGCATAAGGGTTTCTGAAATTAGCAGCCCTCTGCTTTGGGGCAGGACAAAGAATTCAATTCATGTCAACCAAATGCAATCCACCTTTTTTGTGTGTGTGTTTCGTCGTTAAGTCGCGTCCGACTCTTCGTGACCCCACAGACCAGAGCAGACCAGGCCCTTCTATCTTCCACTGCCTCCCGGAGTTGTGTCAAATTCATGTTGGTCGCTTTGATGACCCTGTCCAGCCATCTCGTCCTCTGTCGTCCCCTTCTCCTCTTGCCTTCACTCTTTCCCAACATCAGGGTCTTTTCTAGGTAGTCTTCTCATCAGATGGCCAAAGGATT